TACTTAAGCCTCGTTTCCACCAAGCAGTATAATTTGTCTTCACTCAGTAAAGTACCCATTTTTCACAATCCCAACAGCAAAAGTTCTGAAGGGTACTGCCACAGCCGAAGGGGAAAAAGACATTTGCTTCGTTTTACCTGTATTAAAGTGGGTCGGGACTTGGCGAGTGGGGGAAAAAGCGGGTCCCACGGTGAGGCCAGTTCAGAAACCCTGATCTAGTGCGGCCTCATTAAAAGGCAGCATCCTAATTCTTGGGGGAGATGACGCGGGATGCACTGTCGTCCCTTGGGTGAGGAGATATGATGCCCTGCTATAAACATAGCTGATGTCGCAGTGTGAAACAGACGTCGGATCGGGGTTGCCTGTTACAAATTGTACTCAGGAAAAGTGAACTGAATGAACCGCTTGGTAAAAAAGTGGCTTGAGATGGGCTTTTGTACAACCTTAAAAGAGCTCTAACAGTGGATAATTAAAGCGGACTTTAAAAAAAAAAAAAAAAAGCACTCCCTCGCAACACCATGGCCGCCACTAAGCCTGATGCAGACAAACAAAGGTCAAAGCTGTGACTCGATAATCGCAGAAAAACACACAGCGGCTACACGGGATGGCATCCAGCCAATTTGTTCCTTCTAGCGAGGGGGCGAGCTGCCCTCGAGCCTTGGCCGTTGACCTTTCTTTTGACCGGTTCCGGAGGTTAATCAAGTCCCTACCTGTCCTTGGGTGTGCTGAGCCTTACCTCTTGGCATGATCACCGGTCGAAGGTCAAACAAATCCTGTCTGTATAATTACTTTGGGGCAAAGGATTGGTGTACGGTCATGAAAGAGACGAGGATTAAAACATTATTCAAAATTTTTAAAAAATTCTAAGATGTCCTGCAGTGGGGGTGGCGATGGGGGGGTCACATCATGTGGAATGCAATTACCAACGTGTGCGCTCAGGTCTTGGCATCTTTGTGTGAATGCACGAGGGAATTGTGATGCGTGTCGTGAAGACGCCAAACAAGGAACAGGACATCGGTCTAACCTGCATCTGTGTGGGCATTGGGAGGTATTTCAAAGGAGGGAAATACCTCCGGAAGTCGTCTGTGTAACTGAATGGCTATCCCACACATTATTTGTACGAGAAAGGAGGGCTGAGAAATGTTGAGCATCATTGAATTCAACCAAGACGTTTCGGAAAAAAAACTCACAGGAATCCATATTTTCCGGGCAATATAGTCAGATTATGCCTGAAGTATAATTGAAAAGTCCTACGTTTGATGTTCCTCCAGTCTCGATTATCAAGCTCTATCCTTGAAGCGGCACTGATGGCAAATATAGGAGAGGGGGAAAAAGAACATGGGCCTGCCTCAAACTGCCTTTAAATGTGATCGAATTGTGTCTGGCATATCGCTCAACATGTGTGATGCGAAGAAAGATCATTATAACAAATTGCAAGGGAAAAGAAATGTATTCTTTCATTTATATTTACATTTTTCTTTTCTTTTATTTTTAAATCTACAAGTGGTGTTTCAAGAAAGATGAAGAAAGGGGGGGTCCCCTTTGCTCTTTTTCAACCCCTTCTACTTTTCCAGGGCCTGTTGGCCTAATCCCAGCCAGCCAGCCTTGGGTGAACTCTTTGGAAGCTTCTTAAGACCATGAATGTGCCTTTTGTTCCTGCCATTCCTCCGCTTGGCTGACAGAAAATAGCTAACTGGATTACTGCTAAAATTCAGAGTAAAGTGAACTCCCAAACTTCTATATGGCATAGTGCGAAGAAAGCACCCCGCCCCCCTGCCCCTCACACTCCTCATCGGCATCCCGCTTTCTATATCCTCCCATCCCTCCTTACTCCAGCAAACATCCCCCCTAAACATGGGCTGCTAGTGTGTGATCTGACTCAGGAGGAGAGAAGAGGGATTAGATAAGGTTGAGGAGTTGCAAACTATGGGCCTAAGGCGAAAGAGTAGAAATCTTAAAAGGGGTAAAGAACTTATTAATGGGTGTAAGAAAGCATATGAATCACTCGTCTTTATCAGCAGCGCGAGTGGCTCATTGAAGGTTAAAAAAAAGGGGAATCCATTTTTGCCATTTTCTGATCGTATTTTTATACATCCCATGCAAAAGAGAGAACCTTTTTTTTTTTTTGTCCCCATGCTGAAATGCACCCACTAAGGAGAGGAGGCGTTTATATCTGAGTGAGTGCGCCGTTGAATGGCTGTGTGCAGGTGGTCTTGGAGCTCAGCGGGAGTTAAGAGTGCGAGGTGCGGAGAACAAAAAGGTTTGTATGCGTGTGAATGCACGTGCCTCGAGTGGGTTCTGTTCAAAAAGATGAAAACAGGGCGGCTAAAGAGGTTTGATTTGATCCACCACCCACCCTGACTAGCAAAGGTAAAAAGGGAGGCACGCACGCACACGCACACACACACACACACACACACACACACACACTCATCAAAACTCTTTTCCCTCCTTCAATCTTTTGTCTGCCCGTGTGTGTGTGTGTGTGTGTGTGTGTGTGTGTGTGTGTGTGTGTGTGTGTGTGTGTGTAACTGCATACATGTGACAGCTGACTCCAGGGCGGACTGAGGCAGAGCAGTGGCGAGCGAAGCGGTGCAGGAGGGGCGTGTGTTTGGAAGAGGCAAGGTCAAACAAACTCGCATCTTGCTGACTTTGGGGTCAAAGATCAAAATTCAAGGGTCGACAACCTGGTCAGTCCGTTAGCCAGATCCCGAGTCCTGCACTCCCCGCATTTAGGGACAGGTACGGTTGGCCGGAAAATCGAAAACTCCTGTTGATCTTTTGAATCATTGATTGCGGTGCGTCATCCACTTGAAAATCAAGAATGTTGTCGTGTTACATTACCGTGCAGTTCGTTGTGGTTATTCTGAGAGGAGTATATGCCGAAATTAGTAAATGTGATGGGATTAATCATACGGTGAATGGTGATATTTGACTTTGAGTCTTTACATTTTTGAATGGCTTAGTAAATGTGATGGGATTAATCATACGGTGAATGGTGATATTTGACTTTGAGTCTTTACATTTTTGAATGGCAGGTGCAAAACAAGAGCCAACGGAGGGGAACTTATCCAAATGGTGTAAAGATTTCTCAAACGCCTGAAACAAAATTTCTCCTGACATCGCATCTATTCAGCAATGTCGTTTTACAGCTTCAGAATGATCGAACGGCTGACTGCCAGTCACAAGAAGGAGTCATGCAATATCGACAAAGCTCCTTTTAAATCTGCGTTTCCTTGCAGTTTTGACTTCAGTGCACAGCGACATTTGGTGCTGGTCTCTCCAAGGGCAGTTTAGCGTTTGTGCCATCTCAAGCTTTAAACGCAGTGTTTTGCGGGGTGGGCACATACATCCAAATGCCACTCACTCACGATGAGTTCAATCAAACACAACGTGGCTTTTTAGGAAGGCATTCACAATATTTGGGGTTCTTTACTGTCAAGTTTGTTTGCCTCTTCCACTAACTCTGCCCATCCCATCCCTTCAAACACACTGCGACACTCTGCCAAATTCGCCACGGCTCCATCAGAGCTAGCAAAGGTGCAAAAGCCTCTTTTACACCTGTAGACTCGAGCAGCATAGGCAATGTGCTGGAGTGAGGGAATATGCAATGTAAGATTCGTTATTTGGCGACTCACTAAAAGATGGTGATCTTCGTAGATTGCACACACATACAATCTGTCAAAGTGAAAAGCCAGCCGCGATTTGGGATCTTATCAAATTTTAGAGTTTCGAGAAGTCCAGTCACTCCTCTCTAATTGCCTTTGGTGTGAAAATGTATTCTATCTACTTACATCACACATGACATGCAAAATCTCTCTTCTATTGTAGGATTTCACACAAAAAGTTGCCATCATTTAACATTTTTGGCAAAGCTGGAATGTTTTTTTTTTTTCACAAGATGAATAATCAATTTAAATCAAAATAAAATTCCGAAATGAATTGAATGCTGAGTGTGTGGAGGGTGTTGCTGCAGGCAGTCCCATTTTTGTTTTCTTCTGAAAAATACTAATTTGCAACTGAGATATATTATCTTCTAATTGCACAGATTCCAACGGAGTTCTCGTTCGAGCTGTGAAAATACACACATCATATGACAGCGCTAGTGATGACTTAAGTACTTTTCATGTATGCAACCCCAACTCAAGAGAGTGTGTAGCTAACATTGAAATCGAACCGTGACCTTGTTACTAAATTACAGCCATTAAAAAAAAAAAAAAAAAGAGGTTGTCTGGGTCTTTATGAGCCAGCAAATCATAATTTTGGCCGTGGTAAAACAAAAGCAGTCTTGAACAATATTGCTTTACTTCACTCCAGTCTGGCCTCAATTATTCCGCACAATGGAAATACATTCATTAAAAGGGTAACTTCTTTTGTCGGACCACAGGGTGCTCCGCACACGGGTGCGTATGCACATCTGTTCCGGCGTGTGTTTGGACGCACATCGGTGTCACACGATAAGAATTTTGCAGCGCCTTTGCGGTGCGTGCGTGTGTTGGAGAGATAATAATCCCAGTGGTCAACAAAGACTGACCAGCCTGCCATCATCATGAAGAGGACGAGAGCGAGAGGGAAAGAGGGAGGGAAGAAAAAAAAAAAGAGGGCGAGAGGGAGGTAGCCATGTGGTTAACACTTGGTCAGTGAGAGGCGACTGGAGCCCGGCCAACCTCTTCACACACAGGCTGACCACACAAGAGCCTCTCTTTCTCCTTCGGCTTCTCATCCTCCTTTCCTCCCGAGTTACTTCACATTTCCTCCCTTGCCTTCTCCGATGGGACACCTCCCACTCCCCCGCTGTCCTTTGTCCCTTCCGGAGTTCCTCCCCGCCGATTTTCCCCACCTTCCTTCCGCGAACCCCAAACCATCAGCTATCATCTCAGTGCGGGATGCACATCGAACCCTCGTCTTCCTGCCACCATGTCATTCCAAGCACTCCTCGCCTTCCCGCCTCCTCGTATGGGGGGAAAAAAAAAAACCAACAAAAAAAGAAAACAACATACCCGTATGGGGATCCGCTCTGTCTCCGTTTCCTTCTGTGGGTTGCGGTACTTCTCGTAAAATTCTCTCCTCTTCTTGCCCTCCTTGTCATCTTTTCGTTCCTTCTTTTCGGCCGGTTCGTCCGAGGGTTCGGTCGTAGGGGGCTGAGTGGAGGACTTGGACGATTTCTCCACCTCCAGGTAGTTCTCATTTGGGTTGAGTACGATCACGCTGTAGCCCTCCTAAAACAGAGAGGAGAATATTTACGTTAATTCCACAGCTTTAAGAGCACCGATCATGTTTTTTTTATCCCTTCAGTTTTGGTTTGAGGTCCATTTTTTTTTTTTTTTTTTGGTCTTAGTTTATGAATCCCGGTCACATGATGATGTGCAGGACATAAAGATAACTGATCTGCATTTTCTCTGAAAATCAAAACTGTTTCTTCATGCCAAATGAACATACTTTAAAATGGAGATGCAATAAAAATCAAATCGTAAATAATTACATCACTATTTTTAAAGTACCAAGTCAAGAGTGACAAAAATATAACGTAAGAAATGGTCAAATGGAAAGGAATTATTTCAGGAGAGTGTAAAAAAAAAAAAAAAAAAAAAAAAAAAAAGATGATCTCACACAATTTAATATTGTCGTAAAAGGGTTTTTCAAAATTATTTTTTCACCGGAAATGTAAAGGTTGTTTTTATATAAGAAAAAAAAAGCCTGATAATCCCAAAGTCAAGACAACAACAAAAGTTTCTCTCATACACATACATTCAAGAGCAGACTTACATTTTTGGCAAACTGTAAATAAAGTTCAAATCACAGAAAGAAAGAGCACATCTGACAAGTAGCTGCACAATTGGAATTCCACAACAGCGGTTTCAGTCAGTGGACGGCACTTAGTGACTCCAAAGGCCACATGCCACTTAATATCAAACTCAATCGATCCCGGCATCACTCAGCAGCCCGAGACTTTGCGCTGCTCCAACCGCATACACATCGACGTGCAACTTTTTGCTGTCAATGTCTCCAAAATAAACCATACATGAAAACGCAAAAATGGGAAATTAAGTAAGAGGAGAAAGGGGGCCTTTTCTTTCTTTTCTTCTTTTTTTTTTTTTCCCGATGTGACTTCTTCAACTTTGCTAAGATTTTTAATTAACTGTGTTTATTGTTCCGAGCACTCTGAGATTACAGCAGGAAATAGATCTTATTTCACATTGGACGTTCACACACACAACTGCTATTGTTGAATACACATACAACCCCCACCAGACTCAACTGGACAGACAGGCAGACACACACACACACACACACACACACACACAGTTTAGACATTAACAGCACATTCCGAGGAGTATGGGAGACACAAAAATACTTCTCGGGGGATGCGAGAGGAAATTAGGAGCCATGGCATCGCTCAGCTTCCTCACTGCCTTCTCAAGGCATCACACACATCTTCTCTCTCTTAATAAGTGTTAACGCAGTGTGCGTGTCCTCCGTGTGTGTGTGTGTGTGTGTGTGTGTGTGTGTGTGTGTGTGTGTGTGTGTGTGTCCCTTCTGTGCCCGGCGCCGCCAAACCTGCCACACACCCTTTTCCCTTCGCACCTGCCGTCTGTTGACAGCAGCACAATGACACGTTCCTACTTATGCAGATTATGAAATTAGACAGATTCTCACTCCTTTTCAAAACTCGTGTATCTTTTACCGGGCCCGAAGACTACATTTTCGTGAAGACATGATCACATTCATTGAACGGCTTTTAAAAGTGGATTAGAATTTTGATGTGATTTAAATTGCAGCACGTTCATTTGAGCTGAGGAAATACTGGGCTGTATAATGCTTAAAATCGGTTCGACGTAGAAATAAGTCAAATGATTTAGTGAGTGATTTTCACCCAGGTATATTTTCATCAACGTTGTCATTCATTTTGAGTCAAGTGAGGCTGCGGCCATCATAGAGCAGGATCTATTCGAGGGGATTACGTTTGGGCCAGCGACATGACCGAGACATTTTCACATTTTCACACAGACAGCATTGAAGACACCCGAGCACGCTTTGTCGACAGATGGATGACAAGATGAAACACGGGACCCGGCTTGAGCACGGAGAAGGAGAGACAGAGACGTGCAGCTGAACTGGATCCACAGCACCTCGGTGGCACTGCCCACTGGTGGCAGCATGACAATATAGCCGATGTCCAGTTCAGAAGGCAACGGCGAAGACCAAGACTACATATCACAAATGAGTAAAATATCGAGCATGACAATTGAGCATGATTTTTGCATGGACATGGACAAGTTATTTACTTTGGGATCTTAACTGAAAACGCTTTTTTTTTTTTTTTTGGTAAATATATAATAAGAAGTGATGAAGAAAAAAAATGTGGAATGTGTTGCAGACATGGGGGTTCGTGCATTTGCACTGACACTCGTAAACAAAACGATCTGATCAGAAGACAGACAAATCTACCCAGTCTATGGAAACCAATTATTATTTATTGAGTGTACAGTCGACCACCGCCATTCACAGGGGATTGGGACCGGGCTGGCCCGCGAAGAACCAAAATTAGTGAATAATTGATGACCATGGTAATGCAGTGGGGGGTTAAAAAAATAATAACAATGAAACTCTAACAATTCTTCCAAAACGCTGAGAAACATTCAATATGTGGGAAAGCCGACATCCCCGCCGACTCCCTGAAATCATCCGACCGACGACGCCATTGCTCCATCGGCAAACGATGACATTACAACCAAATCACCGATCATCATCTGCCAATTCACTCAACCCGATCAGACACTTGTACAATAAGAATTGATTTGATTTGGAAATGAGGGCAGAATCGTACAAACGAGAGGAGCAGACGTGTCAGTGTTGAGAGAGGGACAGACATCCAACGCCATCACATCTCTCTGTTCCCGTATTTCGCTAAGCCTGGTTTTCCCGGGGCAAAAGTTAATGGTCCAACCACACGGCTCCACGTTGTTCACTGGCTAACCCCGAGTGGCCTACAAGCAGGGTGAGCCTTCAGTTCCCTCAACCTCTGTCGTCACTCATCAATAACCCTTCCCGCCCTTCGGCATTCTGATGCTAACCTCGAGTGGGCCGAGGAGCTTGTCGCTTACGCCTAATGCCAACACTCGGTCCCGGCCTATAGCCTTTGCTTTGGATGGACGACCACACCTAAGTGAGCTAATACTCACCCGCTCAGTTGTGCAACCACCCAGAAGGACATCGCTGTAAAGGCAGCCCGTGTTGTTGGCGCCTGGAGGGCTGGCGCCGCCATGTTCGCTTTCTGTGTTCGAGACCATGATTAAATGACACTGAGATGTTTATGTTGATGCCGGTCGGGTCTGCGAGCCGCGTCTTGTCTCACAAGCAAAAAGTGAGGCGAAAATTTACGATGATTGCAATTTTTACTTGCTTGTAAGTGGGGATAAAAACGTACAAAAATAAATAAAGAAAATAAGGCACACATTCCACACAATCCCTCCCAGAAGGCGGACAGTTCAATCCTTGTTTGGTGACAGTTAAATCCTCTGAAACTGTTCTAAAGTGAGGTCAGTCAGCCCTTTGTGTTTGGCGCTAACTGTTAAGTCTTACCCACCTTAACACAAAGTGTGTCTAAATCTGAGCTTTGTGTTGTGACGTGCTGTCACCGTCTGAATCTCAAACAAATGCGCGCCGCAAACCTCGGGTCACCCGGATTCTTATACGACTAAATCTCCCTCACACGCATGTTTAAACGTTTGGGGTCGCCTTGCCTTTGTGCTAAACACACACGGGCACTGTCCTAAAGAAAACACACACACAGTCCTCTGGCGTTGGGTCAGTCTTGTCTTTTCTGCAGCAGTGTGCAGGCTGATCCTCTTCCCATGCCCTGTGGGTGCCCCGATGCCACCGCCACACTGAGTCCCTGCCCCGGGGCCAGCGGTCAAGAGGGTTACCCCGACCCCGCTATGGGAGGGAACCCCGACCTCCATCACCCTGCACTGGACGCTCCTTAGCGCTCCTTTGTCGGCCTGTCCCGCATCAGATAGCAAAACAAAAGCTGCCGCTGCTACGGAAACCAGCTTATATCATCACCGGGGAGAGACCTTTCTTTTCCATCATCATGCCATCTTATCTTATTGGTAGTCTTTAAAATGAACTTTTGGGATTTTTCAAATGGCTTTTTTGTGTATATATTATATATATATACACCGTATACACACACACACACACACACACACACACACACACACACACACACACACACACACACACATATCACAGTACAGCAAAATGCTGTTTGGGATTATAAATAAAATGAGGCCATTTTAACTACAATATGGAGACCCTTACGGACTCCCTTTATGGTTCAATTGGATGCTTTTCACCCACTACAACCATGATGGCCACACATCATTATTTTCTCCTCTCGTTGAATTATTAGCTGTGTGTGTGTGTGTGTGTGTGTGTGTGTGTGTGTGCGCGCATACACGGGGTCTCAGTGTGGCTGATACCGCCGACACAAAGGCGAGTAAAAAAAAAAAAAAGATGCCCCACCACCCTTCTTTTAAGACAGCAGCACCTAGTTTTACGAATGGCGCTGAAAACGAAATGAAATGCGTCTAATATGCGGGAGTGGCGAGCGAGGCGGCCGGAGTGAGAGGGTGTTTCATCTGCGCTAGCGGAGCTTAGCGCAGCTTTGATGTGAGGGCTCTCATGCAGTGAGCCGGGGGCTTTGGGCGAGGGGGGGAAAAGGGCAGCACTTGACAGGTACAAAGCATGGCTGATAGGTGTCACGGATGAGGACAGCGGACGGTGCGGTTGTGTGAATTTTTAGGCTAGCAGAATGGTCATGGTACAGAATGGGAGCCTTTTAATACATCCCAACGCATGTGTCCATTTAAAATGCCCCTTATACTTTTCTACTTTTGTCAAGGGGGGGTCGTGTTTGGATCGGGGCAAGGGGCGCTCCCTTTTTCTCGAACAGCTTTCACTTCCTTGATTCCGCAATGCGCAGGGCCTGATTCGCTGCTGAGACTTGACTGACAATGGGGAAAGGGTCACTCAGCGTTGCATACCCAATAGGAGAAGGCAGAGGGGAGGGATCGAGACCTGAATGAGACACAATGACTGACAAAAAGACAATTTGGGTGTGTGTGGTTGTAGTCCAGAGGCTGGATTGACATATTCTGATGGCAAAAACTTAAATAGGCAGGACAGTTAAATAGTACCAAAGAAGCTCAGAACC